CATTGTTCTCCGTATCTTGACATCGTCAGCATATAGCAAAACCGATGATGATAGGAGACGAGGAAGGTCATTTACATACAAGAGGAATAGCACTGGCCCCAAAACTGTACCCTGGGGCACTCCACTAAGCACAGTTCCCCAGCTAGATAACTTTGAGTTCACCTGCACTCTTTGTTGTCACCCAACTAGGAAGTCTTTTATCCACATCAATAGGTTGCCACCAACCCCGACATTTCTAAATCTGTGCAGAACTTTTTCAAAAGCTTCGCTGAAGTCAATGTTGGCTAAGTTCTTAAGAGCTCACCAGCTTTCACGAGCCACTAATAAATTAGTGAGACAGGAATAACTTATTTTAAAACCATGATGTTTTTCCGGAAGGATCTGACTTTCATCAAGATACTTAAACAGTTACTTCAGATTTATCTTTTCTAAAATTTAAACAACCACACTAGTTAGGCTAACGGGTTGGTAATTCTCAGTTTAATGTTTCGTACCTGCTTTGAAGACAGAACTTAATGTAGCGTTCTTCTAGGCTTTCGACTAAAAACTCTGGATTACTGATAGATTAAAGCATATGCTTAAAGGGTTCGCAACGAAGTTAGCTATTTCTTTTAGTAACCTAGACTGCAGTTTGTCGGCCACGTCAAGCTTATTTAGAAGGCCAAAGACATAGAGTTCTTTATTGGTAACCAGTTTGTGCGAGGGGATTTGTGTGAACAGACTGGAGGGGTGTTTCTGTGGCAAATATGTTGCTAAAGTAGTTCGAAAATACTTAAGGTTTACCATAGTCATCCTCTACAAATGATGAAGCATGACTGTATCTCCATAGTGCTGGAATATTTTCTCTTCACTTAGTCTCTCAGTTTATATACGAATACGAGCGTTTAGGAAATTTTGTAGATTCCTTAACAATTTTCTCTACGTACAACCTTTAGGAGTTGTGTAGGGTCGAGGCACAAGTATTCCGAGCTTCTCAATACTGAGATTTTGTCTCATCTCTCCCGAATAGCCTAAATATTTCCCACATTCTTCTCCTCTTGCAGAGGAGGGTGAAAAACTCACTATGTTGGAGAGTTTTGCGATCTTTTCGATGTAGTCCAAGGGATGTGGCGCGCAGTAACGTTTAAGCATAAATTTCGGAATGTATCCCAGCTCTTTCAATTAAGCACTCTGACTATACTGTTCAGTCTACTGACGATGCTGAGTGTCGTATATCCTGTATATTCGCTTTCCAGACGTTAGGTATGGGTTGAGCTGACGTTTACTCGTCTTGACCACAATACGGAAGTCAAAGATTAGAACTGCATGATGACTTTTACCTAGGGGTGGTATATAATCGAGGTTTGTTACGTCACCCTCACAGTGGGTTAATATAAGATCTTGTAAAGATGGTTCAGAGTTCGGGTCCTACCTATCCGTTTTTTTCACATGTATTAGGGCGCATGGGATAACTACATCAACTAGTTCCTGCTTGGAGGGATTTCCTGAAAATTCAGTTCTCAGATTTTTCCGGTCTATCATATGTACATTAAAGTCTCCTAAGATCAGACATCGACCACTCTGTGATTAAATATTGAGACTGGTTAGCAAGACCTCGTTTACCTCATTACTTGGACTGCCTTAGAACAGACCAACCATCGGATCTTATCCCTTGAATTTCAAGCGGCAGCTAACTAATTCTCACGTCTTCATATGAACTCTTCAACTACTAGGAATCTTAACTAATTCAAACAAGAGAGAAACTTATCAATACAGATACTGAAACCGATATGATTAATACTGATTATTTGATGTTTCGTATTTTGCGCTGAATTTTGACTCAATGTTGGGTGGATTTACCTATTATGAAGTTTACGCTACTGTTGCTAATGCGCGATAGTAATTATTCCTCTCTTACAAGTCAGTAGTAGTTAAATCTCTTTTGGATAAATTCTAAAATTATCGCATAAGTTTCTCCGTACTTTATGCTGATCCAATCACGGTTCAACTATTGTTCCTAAGTGTCTTTATCATATAAGTAGTTAGTATGACTAGACTATATATACTTTGGTTTGAAGGCAAACAGTTTATGACCTAAGATTGAGTGAATCAAAAACATAGAGATACGCGTTATTCAGCTTCACATTCAATTTCGATTTTTTTGCGTGTAGAACGTAATTTTCGGTAAAGTGAGTCGTTCTACTTTACCATCTCTGTTTATTACATTAAGATATATCGCATTATGTGACATAGGATGCCAACGTAAAAGTTTTCCGTCAACAGAAATAGGGGCATTCATTGATGTGCTTTTATAGTCAGTATATTTAGCAAGCAAGTTTGCCACGAATAGTGTAAATTGTTATTCTAAACAGTCTCTTAGTTAATAAAATGATATAATATCCAAGTAAGTAAAACGTTTCCTACATAAGTGCTAGGTTATTTGTACCGCAAAGCAGCATCAAGCAATCTTGATGTTAATCACACTGAAAAGTATTGTCCTATAGGACTTAGAAGTCAAATATCAGACGTGAAGATATTGTTATGGAAACTTCATGTCCAGTCTCAAGAAATTACTCTGAAAGTTTAAAGGGCGCGTACGTAAGTGTGTTCTTCAGAGGTTTTAAGCACCAAATTGTGATTCTACAGGACTATATCTAGTGAATTTCTTTCAAGCCTATCTAATTGGATCTCAAACAAAATGATACTTTTATACGTCTCCATTTCGCTCCTAACCGCTATACACAGTAGCGATTATCTCGATGTAATCATACTTGATCAACTCATTTTATTTTTAACTACTGATATTTTCAAACTGGTTTCGATAAAGTCCATGTATAATGTTATTAATAACTGTCAGCATAGGTCTTTAGAGATTGTTAAATGTCTTTGATATCACGAATCAGCCCAAGTGAGATAACCACTAATACCTAGAAATGAGTAGACGGACGTTTTTCATAGTATTTTGACTGGTGAATAGATTACGTGAAAACTAGCGGACCATGAAGTCACAACAGCTTTACTGCATTCAGAGTGGCGCAAGGAAATATGTGCTCTTATTTGAGCATAATCGGAGTCCAAACAGGTTTTCCAGAACAAGCGACAGTCTTCTATCGAGCATCTTCAACGGTGACTGATGGTAATATGATCTATTTGAGTACATCGTTGGTCTGGTGCAGGAGGTCTCTGTGTTAGACGATGTCTCTGTTTATGCTCGAGATTAATGCTTGTTAGAAATGAACGATTGTCTGAGCATACTTGCAGCAGGCGGCCACAATTATCTGTTCGCTAAGCTGAAATACCAAAATATCCACCTAAATGTCTTTCTATTTGGTTTAATCTACTTACCTGGGCACTGAAGTTACCTGCTACGGGTGCTATGTCTGAGTCTTTAGCTTTTTGAAAATGTTCAGAAAGTTTTCTGTAAGATCTATCTTTCAATTCATCCGGGGTGGAGTTAATGGAAGCGTCGGTATAAATGCTGAAAAGGCAACGGCATGTATCCCTATTCTTCTGAGTTCTTACAGAGACGTTTAGCCAAACAGCACATAGGCGACTGTTAACAGGGATCTATTCTAAAAGTGCTTATTTTGCCCTCATACCTAGTGCTATGCCTACACTGGCCAGTCCACGAGAACTCGCCGTTATGTCGCCAGATAAACAGAAGCTGTATCTCGCCGCCTCCCCGTTTTTGCGACATGAGGTGAAGTAAACGACCACACTAGGATCCTGTATGTGTGTTTCCGCGGCACAGCACACATCAGTCGTGCGAGATCATACAGTCTTAGTCAAGGAGAACTGCCGGCCGATTTGACACGGGGTCTGTACGTTGAAGGCTCCAATGTGTAGTTTGGAGCGAGGTTTTAGTAGACCTGGGACAATATTTCGCGCATTAGAATAGTTGGCCATAGTGGTACTTGAGGCAGAAGTCGAAGGAGTAAGTTTAGAGTGGATAGTCGAGGTGGGTAAAATAATAGGAATTGAAGAGGGAAATCGGTTATGAATACAGTGGTTTTGAGTTCTGTTAGAAGTATGAGGGTGGCTATTAATTCCCGATTGCCCACACCGTGAAGGGGTTATTCTAGAGGTACCTGGGAAGGAAATTAGGTTAGAGTTAGTCCTAGTAGTTTGAGAGCGTAATCTCAGTGCCCAAGGGACAACTGCTTGAGGTTAGTGACGCACGACCTCTTGTGAGTAATTTTCGTGTTAGCTCCGTACTTTTTGGGACCGTACCACCGGAGACGGATATCCTTGGGTTAAGGTGAAGTGTGTATTTTCAGGGTCGACGTTTTTTAACTCCACCCTTCCTTGTGGGAAGGCAGTATCGCCGTTATGTTGGTTGTCTGAAGGAAACACCCTACTGCTGTCACACCTCTGTACAGTCAGCAGTACGACTTTGCCCTCAGACTGAGTTTGTCGCTTTTAAGCTTACCGCTCTTCAATCGGCCTGCCTGGCATGGTAGAACCTATGTATATACTGATGTAATTTATAAAAGTGTGTCATTCAGTAAACTTTTCGTACAAGTTAACTTAATTACTTAAGAGGCTCTTTAAACTTGAGTATACTAAGTCACTGACTATTTTCTACCAAGTTCATCCACTTTACCTTTTTTTAAAACTGTAAGCACTAATAGTAGTTTCCCAGAGATTTCTGTTGCGAATTTAACAGTATGTGAATACGGATATACAAATAGATTTTCATGTCATGTTGGATGCCTAATAAAAGCGTCTGCTAATCTTGATAACTAAGATCTTGAGTAGAGGCACTCTTCAACTCACTTTGCTATTTGTAGTAATCAAAATTCCTTAGAAAAAGTTATAAGAGGAAGATAAATAATGATTGCAAAAAATATACTTCTTCGTTTACTTATTGTATTTCTACCTACTAATTACCTTTTTTCATTTGCTACTATCAATCATGCCTTTAATTTTTCGCATCAACGAACTCATATCTTTGGTAAAATTATTTTTTGTAGTTTCATGGTTGTAAATTTGGTCATTAATACACGTTATTACTTCTCATAATGTCCGCAAAATCATCCGATAACAAATTCTCGTCTGTTATTCAAATAAATACGATAGATGATTACATCGCTCCCACACAGGTCAGATTTGTTTCTCAATAAATTGAATATTTTAGGCGTGTATTAAACCGGTAAAAATCGATAAATCTGTTGGAAAGACCAGATCTGTTAAAGTTGAAGAAGATGGTTCTTACACGGGTATAACTGAGGTATTTTGTGTTTCTGGTCAATATGATCTCACAGGATGGGAGTAAATATTCCTTACAAAAAGCATCCATCAGTCTTAATGACTGTTTGGCTTGTAGTGGCTGTATAACTTCTGCAGAGACCATTCTTATATCCGAACACAGCTCTACCGTATTTTCTGATATTTTATTGCAAAATAGGTCTAAAAAGGTATGGTTCTCAATATTCTTAAGATTTACAGATAAACGATCGGAGCATAATCGTTGTCTCGTTGTCCCCACAAACCATTGCCAATTTACTGAGCCATGTAACAGCCCTTCCTGAAAGTAAATTGGCTAGAGCATTCCACTGTTTTCAAGTCAGTAATTCCCTATCGAAGTCGGATATGAATACTTTCAGGACTTTTATTGCCTCGTGTCTCTTTTCTATCGGGATTCATTTGGTTACCGATGTTACTTGGGCTCGTGACATATGTCTCTATGAAGCGGGATCAGAATTCATAGAGCACTTCACAAAACGCAGTGATAAATGCGCAGATCATTTACCCTTGTTCTCCAGTATTTGCCCAGGTAATATTGGCATTTCCCACTAATAACTAGCACACTTCCTAACTTTAATTTCAATTGCATTCGATGCATATTGTATATTTTATTCTTATCCCTACAGATAACACACAATCTTTTAAAATTTATCCTCTTGCACACCACATAACCTTACGAAACTGAAGAGATGAGAGTTACATTTTTCTGACATTGGTACTGTGAAAAAAAGCAAGATCATCCGTTATTGGTTTTTAGTTTATGGATTTACGTACCTATTTAGTTCCACAAGAATCGTATCTCCCACTGGTGTCAGCTTTATTCGCTTGTGTTTCGTTTGCTTATTAGAAGCTTATTGGGAAAAGCAAATGTTACATTCATAATCTGTTCTTGTGAGAACTTATTCTTAACGCACTTTAATCTAGTTATACGTTGATCTCCCCTCCGCTGGCTTTGAGGTTCCTTTCAGATAGTACTTTCTTATACACAGCCTTATATCTAGGTTGCTGTATCACCATTTAATTTCTTACTGTTCTATAGTATGACTTCGAATTAGAAGTTCTGGTCTGACTGGTTTAGAATGAATTCATTTTAGTGAAGACATTTAAAACAAACAGACTAACTAACGCAGATACTGAGCCAGTCCGAGATGCTATACATCGAAATAGGAAGTTAAAACAGTCAGTGAGTGGCTGAAACGGTTACTGAATCATATCAACCATAGTCACTTTAAATAATCACCTAGTAGCTCGCATTTCTGCACACAACTCTAACGAATAGATAATTTGTTCTGTTTATCTTAAGGCTTTTTCTGCTTATTCTTTACCAGGTATCTGGATCTGTTCAGTAGGTCACGGTCGTTGCATACCACTCTAAATATGATTGATATCAGTCATTTAGTACTTCCACTACAAACCAACAATTCGAATACACTGATGATTGAATATTTGTGCTTTCTAGACTTAGTTCGGAATGCGATCGGAGTATGATGTGGCTGCAGGAACCGATGGAAACTTCATCCAGGTCGTGCATTGCTAACTAACTGTCTGGTACACTTTTTATTTTAATTTTACCATTTTCATGTCTCAAGCAAGTAGTAGTAGTTCGAACTGCTTAAGGGGGAAGAGATCAAACTAATACCTGAAAGTGAAGTAATTAATGTAACATGCGGGATTTTCCTATATTTTTGTGGTTAATATTGTTAGTCGCTACTAATGCAAGTGTTATACGCTATTGTTGATCAATGTGAACATGATACTACTAATGAAACTTAGATCTGTGATTTCTGTGTGGTAGTGTGTACGAAAATCACAATGTTTAAGCCAGAAAATTTTTGGTATTGAGAACCCAAGTGTAAAAGCTGTTTAACGTTCTGTTTCTTTACTGTTTTAAAGGTTGGATATGTTATGCTGAAAAGAGTCCCCTTACTTCATCCAACCCTTCAAGCTCTAAGCACAGTGAATTCCCAATTATCTCTCATATATCAAATGTTCGTTCTCCGCAGCAAATCGCAGGCAGGGTAATTAAACTTTTAGGTGGAGAAAAATGTTTTCATGTCAGTATTATGCCTTGTTTTGATAAGAAGTTAGAAGCATCTAGAGAGGAGTTTTCGGTACCTTCAAAAAGTGTTTCTGACTTTTATGTCCCAGATGTTGATTTGGTCTTGGCTACCAATGAACTGCTTTGCTTCCTTGAATCATTAATTGAGGAATCCAGTGGTATCGTCTCGTTTTCTTTTCCTGAACACACATCTGAGGTTGGAGAAAGTCAGCGGTTAATATTAGAGAGGTATGGATATATTTTTTTGAAATGTGTGCATATGACTGCTACTATTAGGTATCTTGTCTATTTTCATTAAACTTGAGCCATACTTAACCTTGGATATGTGAAATTGCAACCATATCCTTTAATTTGTGTAAAACCAACCTTAAAAATATTAAATCAGTTGTTAAAAACTAGGCGATGTTTCCGAAACTATAGTTGATCCTAGCATTTTATTTTTCGATGAATCATAATAATATTAGGAAATGTAAATCACATATTTTTCCCTTCTGAACCTGTTGGGCTTTTTGTTGTGCTAATTAATGAAATCGACCTGAGTACTATAGAACTATCACTTCAAGTATAATTCTTAAATACATTTTTATTTCATATACACTGCTTGTTCTATTCGAAATAATCAAACTTATGTAGCTAAAAAGATTTCTACGATGTAACGAATTCACATTCTGTAGATGATGATGTGCTCGCTTTATTTAAATCAAAATGCATCCACAAATTTAGAGAACGGTGACTTTTATTGATAATTCTAGTCTTAAACTAAAAGAAATTAATACTAATCACAGTAGTTAGTTTACAGTGTTCTTTAATCTATGGAAACAAGAAACCAAGTGTCAAATACTTTCTTTGTTTTCTAGATTATATGAAATATTCTGCGTAAAAATATCGCACGGAAAAACAGGTGTTGGATCCGATCATTTTCCTTTGCTAGTCAACGAAATGCTTCCAATGTATAGACACAATGGGAGTGGTTCAGGGGGATACGCAGCATGTATTCTTAAGATGGCAGCAGAAGAACTATTCTCGGTAAAATTAAAGTCTGATATATTAGAGGATGAACGTGTGATAATTCGCCATTTACAAAATCGAGATATTCAGGTTGGTTTGTAGTCTTTCGTTTTACATGGAATATATTTCTATTTCCTCCAAAACACCAACTAATTTCGAAAATACATTACCATTGATCCTATTTTTATAATAAATCACCATGTTGCCCTTCCTTAGTTCATCTGCATTATTTAAATTGTATTCGATAGAATTTTCAAAGAAATACTTTTGACATAAATCATCTGTTGTGTTACTCAGTCCAATATCTCGATATTTAATTTTAATGCTGTAGACGATACTAAGACTAATCTTTAATGCAAAACTACGTATTTATGGTTAACTGCATGCCATATTCAAAATAAGGTGAATAATCAACGATCGTTTTGTCTGTTGTTGACTAAATATTCACATCACGTTATCCTCTTTGTTTTATTTTCAAGGAATTAATCTTGTTTAATTCAAAAGAAGATCGTAGTCTGGCGGAGTCTCTGCTACCATCTCTTTCAAATCGAACACCTTACCGTCACTTGGAAATTCAACCAAAAGCACTGTTAGTATTTGGGATAGCTAATGGGTTTCGCAATATCCAAACTATTGTTCAATATCTGCGAAAAACTTATCAATTTAGAAAATGCGATAACCCAGATCAAACAAAGTTTAAACAGATAAAAGCCCACTATCCGTTTGATTATGTAGAAGTGATGGCATGTCCAAGTGGTTAGTCAAATGTTTTCGTAGATTACCTGTACTGAATTTAGTGTTTAAAGGAGACTGTCCGATCATATATGAATTGCCGAAATATATGTACGCCCTTAAGTTGTCTGTTAAGTCCGGTACGACTGGATACAAGATCATCTGTTAACTGTTGGGTATTTGGTAATATTATATTTTTCTGAGATTAACAAATGAACCAGTCCTAGCTAAGTTTTAGCGCAGTTCACGTTGAAATGAACAGGCACTATAGTAGCTCTTCTTACATATATACACTATGTATCCCACTCTATGAAACAGGAAGCTTGTTCATGTAAATCCAATGCGTCTTAAGTACGGTATAACTGGATATTGAAAATTCTTTATTAGTCATTTGATAGTCAACAGCAACTACAAAAGCCTAGAAGTGGCTGTTCAGAACCTAACTGGCTAGTAGAAAGATGGCACAATGTAACTACATAAGGAAGGGATTTTGAACTGCCAAGTTGTGCTATTTCACCTCCAATCAAGGGGAGTGTAGACCAAACTTCATGATGTATACTGTGTTGTATATCACAAAACGCGATGTTGGTTGGAGTATGACGGCATGTCACACGCCGTATGGCACGAGTCCGTGAAGTAGTTGACTGCTGGAGGTGAGGCGTGTTGCTGGTGCAAATTATGTTTTGGATCCGCGTGACCAGTGGTTGAAAACGTTAGGCAAAATAAGCCAGTGGATTCACTCTTCTTCCCCTACGTATTGATCCTCAGTAAGCGTTCCTCGAATTCATTCTTTTTAGACAGTATTCTCCACTGTTTAATCTTCACCAATTTTTCTTCTCTGATAATCTCGTTAATTTCAGCTTATCGTGCTCTTGTGAGATGTTAATTGCACTTGAATGATATTGTTTCTATTTACTCCAAAATTAACTCAACCCAGTTGTTGTGTTATAAACTTTAACTAATAGTATTTAGTCACCGTGATCATGTGATGTTTCTGGAGCTTGATCTGGTTTTTTTGACTAAGTGTAATTTACAAGAAAGTAACTTGGTATTCTCATAGGACTAATTAACTGTAGCCTAATGACCGCGTGATCTCAGTATTGAAACTTAATTTTTGTGTGAGAGCCAGTAATACTAACGAGTTGAACAAACCGAAATAGTTTGGACAAAATTTAAGCCGGTAACCTGACACTGCCATATTTTATGATTAATTCTAGTTATTTGTTGACTGTATTTGTTATTGATCGTTTGTACTTTTTTACAGGTTGCCTTAATGGTGGTGGACAAGTAAAAGAAATCATAACACAAACAAGCGAATTGTACGCAAGTCTCCCAGTTTCTAAACCAATGTCGAACGCTTTGGTGAAGAATTTGTATGAATATATCAAATCCAAAGACCCTAACCTTAAATACCTACACACTACATACAAAACTGTTCCTAAGATTGAAATAATCAACCCAAGTGCATTAAAATGGTGAATCATAGGTTAACTCAAATGAAATAAATTATTTTTTGCAAACTTCGAGGCGAGCGTTAATATTTTTTGTCTTTTATTAGACGCTAGTTACAATTCAATTATTGTTATATAGGAATTGACTTGACAGATCTACCATCAACTGATTTTCAGTTTTTCCAAAATATCTTTGGAACTCAATAGCGCACATCAACCCTATGGTTCTTTAAATAAATTAATATATTTGTAATATCCCAATGAGTGACTCAGTGTAAGTCACTTCTTCATAGAATTTATTTATAACAATCTACCCAATGCTCAATCTATTCGAAATTATCAAGTCAAACCTTGGTTATGATACCTACCTATGGATCCATGTTTAAAAAATTACAGTTTACGCTTAACCGGCGGTAGCACATTTTTGGTGACTCCCAACATAATTCTGCACCTGAAAAATCGACAAAAACTCACAAGTTCCCTCATGTTAGTGGGATATAGATTGGATTAAAGCATGTCCCATGTGGGACTGTGTTAAGGCATGCTGATTGGCTATTTCCTAACCAATCAGTGCTAGCGGATGCTTGGAGAGGATTCTAGAATCTTGTGTAAATATGCTAATGCTTTTCTTATTTTGATTCCTACTTCCATCCACCCTTGTTATTTGAGATATAACTACGTTTCTGTTCAACCGTGTTCTGGTTTGGGTACTTGTCGAGTGAAGTAGTGTCCAAGATTACTAAGCAATAAGGGTAGCTGGGTCGTAATAAGAGAAACTATAACACCCCAATAAATGAAATCAATCAAACTAAAGCGTAGCATTACTTATCCTCCATTTCTAGAACATTTTATACATGTTCAACATCATTTCGCACTTCGTAAGTAATAACAGCAATAACAAAATGAGAAAATAAAATTGTAAAGGGGAATGGAAAACAATCAAGTTAAAATTGATAGATCAAGAGAATTGCTTACTTGATCAAAAACAAGACACTTGGAAAGAAAATGTGACAGAAATAAAGTTAACTAGATTTAATATAAACTTGGTGATATACAACAAAACACTCCACATATTCTTCCGAATTAGGAGTCAACTATAGTCCAGAATTCATTGTTAGGACTGTATAGGTTGTCATTTATTTTCTCCTGACATGCCCATCGCATTGACGTTATCCGTTCCAGAATATCTTTGTTTTAATTGACTGTTCAAAGCCTTTAAACGCTTTAATAGACTAGCATAATCAAAAATCCCTCGCCCATCTTCGAAAGGATCAACCATAGGTTGACCTGATAGATGCATATTTCGTTCGCAAACGCTAATATAATATTCGTAATAATCCTCAAAACTAGATTCCACTACCGCGTACAAATCCGAAGGGAATGCTGTACGACGCTCTAATACATCACAAACTGCACATCGAATAGTTTCATGTGTAATTATTGCATTGTATTGTTGAGCATCGCCCGGGCTACGTTCAGTGGTGAATCCAGGCTCATTAAAATACGGTTTATCGTTCATCAAAGATTGAATTGATATTAAAACTGAAGATAGGCTTTGTGCTGGTGTCCATTCGGGACCTTGCCAAGTACCGAGAACACTTAGACAAACCTATGGGGAGTGTGGTAGGTAAAATTCAATGAAAAGTACGACAGTCTTATAAAATCTAACCGGAAATCTCTTTATTGGTAAATATTCTAATAGATTATGACAAGGGAAATTTTTTGAATGCATGTCTTTTACTGTATCATTTACTGTCCCATGAACAACAATAATTGATTTAGAACTAGTGATATCGCTATTTTTCTATTAGTAAAACTGAAAGGCATTCAGAAACTCGGACCCTGTACATTTTTTGAGTTGTGCAGGTCGGATTCTTACTGAATATTCAACGAACCTTATGGTTCAGATGTATGAGTCTGTTATCTGGCTAGGCATCTGCACTACGAATAACGATCCGTGCCCTCGAACCACCTCACATGCACAAAGTCCCAGGGAGTTTGGTGTTATCATAAAATTTATAAATGGTTCAGAATTATTTACGTAAACCTGTAAGTAGTTTTCTGGTGGGATTTGTGCTAGTTTCTAGTTTAGGTAGGTGAAAATGACAAGTCTATGATATACATCAAACTAAATTATAGTAGGTGTAATACTGTTGCAACAGAAACGTAACCATGTGAATATGATATGAATATCAAAATGATATAAAACTATGAAATATAAGGCTGAAATCAAGAAGTTGGGGTTCCTCCAATTTAAGGTCGTAAAAATACGCCTTTAAATACATCGAAGTTTGCCATTTTTATCCAAGTAAACGACTGAAAATCTTTTATTTGCGCTAACTATTGTGTTACTGATATCAAATAAAACAATTGCAATAGATAATATGGCCAGAACATTTTGTTATCAAAGGCATTGAAGTGCTTTTCAACTAGTATTTCACCTATCATAGAATACTGATAGTGGACTCAAGACGTTATCATAGCTTCACATAAGTATGTGGTAGAAACAGAATCCCAAATGCCCTGGTACAGCCGAGAGTGGGGAGAGTCCGCTCTCTCTCGAAATGCTTTCACATGGCCACGCGTATATAGCCTCTGCCAGGAAAGTCCTACTCACTGCCTTCTCGTGGCGGGGGTGTTGTTTACGAAAATGAGAGGACGAAAAGCGAATATCCGGCGCTTTAACCGGATTCCAAACCAATGGTGCACATGGGCTCCAGTATCCTGCCGGAACAAATGGCGTATGAACCTATTTTTGGTCACCGGCTTCCATGGGACTGCATTTCCTTACGATGCTCCACTGCTTTGTGGACCAGACCTTCAGGTCGCAGGCTCGGGGTGTAGCCCCCTAAGAAAACCACCTACTTCGGTTTGGTCACCCGGGCAGTATCTCAGCCCTCATACATATCGAATGAGATTTGTGTGGCGCATATGTATTTGGTGCCTCATTGTTCCAATATCTATGTGCTAAAATAAATAAATTCGTAAATTTACCTGACATTATTTACAAAAATTTCGGAGTGTTTTTTAAGAAATCAATTTGGGTACGGGACTTCCCAGAATATTTGGACCAGCACTTTTTGTATGAATACAAAATATCGATAGAACAATGAGAAGACGGAGTTAATCTGAAAAATGTGATGTATTAACGCTATACATCCAGTCAGTCAGCTACAACGTAGGACCAGGCACATATGTGCATCGGTCCAGGTTGCCATACCTCATTAGCACAACAAGATGAACACAGGATTCATAGGAGTGGTTAGGTCAAAGGTTGCAATAAGAATATAGTATAGGAAGGAAGAATTAGTTCGTAGAAAGAAAGATATGAAATGATTTTAATCTCTTAGTTTAAGGGAAGACAAAGAGTGTATACACCGACGCCATTGTGATCGATTCTGAGCCATGTCGCCAAGAGTCTCCAACCATTGGTTACGAAAGTCACGCGGACCCCAACCAAGTAGTCTGCATCTACCAACATGGCTCAGACTAGAAGATAGTGACTTCAAGCACTGATGCCACGTTTTGGTTTGGCCGCCCCTAACTTTCTTCCAACCATCCCCTACACCGGTTAGCATTGCACGTCGTGGTAATCGGTGTTCAGGCATACGTAATACGTGGCCCAACCATTTCAGACGACGAAGATTAACAACCTCATCAACAGATTTACCATCATTCCCTAATACCCTGCGTCTAACCTCACTATTACTTACCCGGTGATCCCAGCAGACGCCAGCAATATTTCTAAGGCATCTGTAATCAAATACCTGTAGCTTACGAATATCTTCTGCTCTTAGTGGCCATGTTTCGCTGCCGTAAAGTAAGACAGAACGGACTGCCGCGCAGTATACTCGTCCTTTTATTGATAGACGGATATCTCGCCTCCGCCAAAGGTGACGTAAGTTGGCAAAAGCCAAACGAGCTTTTCGAATCCGTGCTGAGATTTCGTCAGACACCAACCCATTAGGGCTGATCAGACTTCCAAGATAAGTGAAGTTGCCAACGCGTTCGACTACTTCACTCCCTATCCTTAGTTCAGGTGTTGACGCAGACCAGTCCTGAAGCAACAACTTGCATTTAGAGGGAGAGAAGCGCATCCCAAACATTCTGGCATTGTTGCTTAGTGCTACCAGAAGACTCTGCATTTTGTCAGCGTCTTCACCAAACAGGACTATGTCATCTGCGTATTCTAAGTCGATAAGTGGACCTCCTGGAAGGAGATCAATACCCGAGAACTCAGTCGACGAGAGTGTTATTTCCATCAATAGGTCTATGATGAAGTTAAACAAAAATGGAGAAAGTGGACAGCCTTGACGGACACCATTTGAAGTTGCAAAAGTAGATGACAGTTCGCCATAAGCTCTGACTCGACTAGTAGTGTTCGAGTAAAGAGCCTTCACAAGGTTTATGTACTTCTGAGGTACGCCTTTCAATGACAGACACTGCCACAGAGTCTCGCGGTCTACAGAGTCAAACGCTGCTTTTAAGTCAAGAAAGACCACCATCGTCGGACGCCGATAGGTATGCCTGTGTTCTAGAACCTGACGAATGGTGAATATGTGGTCGATGCAGCCACGACCAGGTCTAAAGCCAGCTTGGTTCTCTCGAGTTTGTAGTTCACGAGTCTTAGTTAGGCGTCTGATAATTATCGAGGCCAGTATTTTAGATACTATGTTTGTTAAACTAATCCCTCTGTGGTTGTCACAAGATGATTTTGACCTTTTCTTATATATTGGGACGATAAGTGATTGCGACCAGTCAGATTTTAGTTAAAATATTAATCAACCTAATCGCTAAAATTGGACCACCATCCTTAAAGATCTCTGGAGCCAATCCATCTGGACCAGCTGCCCTTCCTCGTTTCAGATTGACTATAGCCTTTTGAACTTCAGCAAGAATTGGGGGACCTACTTCAATGTTCCATTCACACTGTCTGGGAATGGAGGGTAGTTATAGAGTAGCTGAAGGCCAGCTGAACTGTTCTCTAAAATGTTCCGCCCATCGTTCTAAACGCCTGGACTGGGAGCAGATGAGAGTATCATCTTTTTCCGAAATAATCTCACTTACACTTGACTTATTAATTCCAGTTTCTTTTACTAGTCTGTAAAGCTGTCTTGTGTTCCCTATAGTCGCCGCCTTTTCCATCTCTTTTGCTTTCGTTACCCACCACTGCTCACGGTCGTTCCTTAGACTTTTTCTTAACCTAGATCTGATTTGTTTTCGCTCTTCATCATGTTCAGAACCTGATGGGACGAGTTTGCGAGAATCCATCAGTGTGACAGACCTTGAAGAAATCCACTGGTTCCTTGCAACTCTGTGGTTTAAGTCACTAATAGATGTCACTGCTGTTTCCACAGCTGATTGTATGCCCTTCCAAGCAACATCTGGATCAGCCTCGTCTTCACAACTACCTAAGTGTGACCTCAGTTGTTCCTGGAACCTACTTTTGGTTTTCTCGTTACTCAACTCAGTTCTAACGGGTCTTTTTAATGTGGCTTTTTTGCGTCCAGTGAGGCGCAAGCAGATGCGTGCCCGTATTAGGGCATGGTCGGAGTCCAAGCAGGTACTCCAGAATGAGCGACAATCTTCTACCGACCCTCTCCAACGATGACTGATGGCAATATGGTCTATTTGAGTCCATCGTTGGTTTGGTGTAGGGGGTCGCCATGTTAGACGATGTCTCTCCTTATGCTTAAAATTTGTGTTTGCTAAAAATAAACGATTGTCTGAGCATAGCTGCAGCAGACGATCACCATTATCTGTTCGCTGTGTCGGAATACTAAAATATCCACCTAAATGCCTTTCTGTTTGGTTTAAGCTACCTATCTGAGCATTAAAATCACCTGCTACGAGCACTATGTCTGAGCGTTTAGCTTTCTGAAGAAGTTCAGAAAGCTTTCTGTAAAATTCATCTTTCACTTCATCTGAGCTGCAGTCAGTGGGAGCGTAGACAGAAACGACAAAAAGGCAACGACGTGTGTCCCTATCCTTCCGAGTTCTTACGTAGCCGTTCAGCCGAACAGCACATAGACGACTGTTGACGGGGATCCACTCTAGCAATGCTTGTTCCGCCCTCATGCTTAGTGCTATGCCTACACCCGCCAGTCCACGAGAACTGGCCATCGGGTCACCAGATACACGAAGGGTGTATCTCGTTGGCTTTCCGTTTTGCCGAGGTGAGGTCAAGTGAATGACCATACTGGGATCCTGTATGCGTGTTTCAGAGACACAGCATACATCAATGGAAAGAGACTCTAGGGTTTTAGCCAAGGAAGCCTGCTGACCGATTTGACATAGAGTGCGTACGTTGAAAGCTCCAATGTGTAGTTTGGAGCGAGGTTTCAGTAGACCTGGGACAGAGTTTTGAGCACTAGAATCGTTGGCTATGGTGACACTTGAGGAGGAAGCCGAAGGAGGAAGTTTAGGGTTGAAAGTCGATGTAGGAGGAATAATAGGAATTGAAGAGGAAGGTTGATTATGAATACAGTGGTCTTGGGTGCTGTTAGAGGTATGAGGGCGGTTATCACTTTCCCGTTGCTCACACCGAGGAAGGGTTCTTCTGGAGGTACCTGAAAAGGAAATTGGATTAGAGGTGGTCTCAGTGACCTGAGAGCGTGACCGCAGTGCCCAAGGGACAACTGCTTGAGGCCGGTCGCGCACGGCCTTTTCGTGGAAGGTTTTCGACGTGTTAGCTCCGTTCTTCAAAGGGCCTTACCGCCGGAGACGGAAATCCGTGAGGTAAGGTGAGGTGTGCATTTTTAGGGTCGACCTTTTCTAACCCCACCCCTCCTTGTGGGAAGACAGCATCGCTGTCATGCTGGTTGTCTGAAGGAAACACCTTACTGCTGTCACACCTCTGTACAGTCAGCAGTACGACTTCGCCTTCGGACCTTGGGTTTGTTGCTTTTAGTCTTACCGCTCTTCAACCGACCTGTCTGACATGGTAGGACCTTGAGGAACGGTTGTTCCAGCCAGTATAGCTCGGTTGCTTCATCACGATAGGCAAGCCCGACCACCACGTCAAGGAAGCAACGGTAGCAACAACGCTATACATCCATTTTTAAATGAAAATTAATAAAGGTCAAACAAATAAAAGTACAATTAAAATAACTAAGGGGAGAGAAAGAATAAGAAATTGTCGCGTTATCCTAGGCCATAGAATGACTTAAGGATTACCAAGGTGAATTCAAGGTTAAGACAAATTGTTTTTGCACACATAAGGGGGTTTAAATTTACGAATAGCCAAGGCTTCAATAAACTTAAGAATTCGAACTTAACAATTTCTATACAACATTCTAAATGCTGTATTAATGTTAATTTTGTGCCCCGTCTCAATTATATGTTTCGCTATCGATGAGCTTGGTTTTCTACATCCTACATTGATCGGATCATTTGACATACATTGATTTTGAAGCCATCTAGGCACATGTTCATTGACCCTTGATTGCACTGTTCGATTACTTCTCCCTATGTATGTGTGTCCACACAAACATGTAAATTGGTAAATACAATGGGATGTGACGTAATCATTAGTGCATTGTTTGGGTCTATTAGGAATCATGGCCTTAGACTTTTCAATCACTATTAACTGGGCAGCAAAATACGTATTCTCGGTGGCTGCTTTCAATCTCTGCCTTAAGACTATACTGTTAGATTCGCCTCTATATGGTAGATTGATATAAACTTTTTTCTTTGGCACTGAATAAATTAGAGGTCTTGGCATTAACTGACTTTTGCACCTATTAATAAACTTGAGTGGATAACCATTTGCTATTAATGTGTCAGTCAGTAACTTTTCATCTTTTTCCACCATGTCAGAGGTACATATTCTTCGAGTCCCCTTAAAGAGGCACTTAACCAGACCTATCTTGTATTGCAATGGACAGAAACTATGGAAATTTAAGTCTTGTCCCGTCCAAGTTGGTTTCCTATACACTGACCGTCTAATAGTGCCATCGTCCCTTCGACTTAAAAGTATGTCTAGAAAGGCTAATTGGCCATTACTTTCTGATTCATGTGTCATCACAATATCGTTTTGAACACCATTGAGTTTATCCAATAATCGGTAAACATCAAAATCTTTATCACATATAGTTAGGATATCGTCCATATATCTTCTATATAGAGTTGTCTCACTAATAAGGTCGCTCGTCATATTTTCCACATATGACATGAATACCTCAGCTAAGAGAGGCCCCAAAGGGCTACCCATAGCTACACTATCAACTTGTCGAAAATATTCACCATCAAACGTAAATTGAACATTAGCTGTACACAATAAAAGTAATTCTTTCAAAAATGTATCTTTTAAAGAGGACTTACAAAGATTAGTACGAATTGGGTTTAACAATTTTACTAACCATTTAGCTAGCTCGTGTGTGGGAGAACCACGCATAGACAAAATTGGTCGTAATGAAATATTAGGTTTTGATACATTTGAACTAATTGATCTTCTTGGTGACATTAATATTAAAGAAAAATCTTTGCATTCATTTGATGTAAACTCTCTCTTCACGAATGTACCGTTAGCAAAGACGGTGGATTTCCTTTGTGACTATATTTCTAAAAACTTTCCCCTTTTTCCTATTCCGTTACCATTTTTGAAAGAATTACTTTTATTGTGTACAGCTAATGTTCAATTTACGTTTGATGGTGAATATTTTCAACAAATTGATAGTGTAGCTATGGGTAGCCCTTTGGGGCCTCTCTTAGCTGAGGTATTCATGTCATATGTGGAAAATATGACGAGCGACCTTATTAGTGAGACAACTCTATATAGAAGATATATGGACGATATCCTAACTATATGTGATAAAGATTTTGATGTTTACCGATTATTGGATAAACTCAATGGTGTTCAAAACGATATTGTGATGACACATGAATCAGAAAGTAATGGCCAATTAGCCTTTCTAGACATACTTTTAAGTCGAAGGGACGATGGCACTATTAGACGGTCAGTGTATAGGAAACCAACTTGGACGGGACAAGACTTAAATTTCCATAGTTTCTGTCCATTGCAATACAAGATAGGTCTGGTTAAGTGCCTCTTTAAGGGGACTCGAAGAATATGTACCTCTGACATGGTGGAAAAAGATGAAAAGTTACTGACTGACACATTAATAGCAAATGGTTATCCACTCAAGTTTATTAATAGGTGCAAAAGTCAGTTAATGCCAAGACCTCTAATTTATTCAGTGCCAAAGAAAAAAGTTTATATCAATCTACCATATAGAGGCGAATCTAACAGTATAGTCTTAAGGCAGAGATTGAAAGCAGCCACCGAGAATACGTATTTTGCTGCCCAGTTAATAGTGATTGAAAAGTCTAAGGCCATGATTCCTAATAGACCCAAACAATGCACTAATGATTACGTCACATCCCATTGTATTTACCAATTTACATGTTTGTGTGGACACACATACATAGGGAGAAGTAATCGAACAGTGCAATCAAGGGTCAATGAACATGTGCCTAGATGGCTTCAAAATCAATGTATGTCAAATGATCCGATCAATGTAGGATGTAGAAAACCAAGCTCATCGATAGCGAAACATATAATTGAGACGGGGCACAAAATTAACATTAATACAGCATTTAGAATGTTGTATAGAAATTGTTAAGTTCGAATTCTTAAGTTTATTGAAGCCTTGGCTATTCGTAAATTTAAACCCCCTTATGTGTGCAAAAACAATTTGTCTTAACCTTGAATTCACCTTGGTAATCCTTAAGTCATTCTATGGCCTAGGATAACGCGACAATTTCTTATTCTTTCTCTCCCCTTAGTTATTTTAATTGTACTTTTATTTGTTTGACCTTTATTAATTTTCATATAAAAATGCCCTGGCAAGTATATGTATGACCAGATTGTTCGGAATGTATAGCGTTAATACATCACATTTTTCAGATTAACTCCGTTTTCTCATTGTTCTATCGAAATTTATAAAAGGGACTAATTGCTTTGAATACAGAATAAGCGAAAATATTTCTCGAAGGGTATTTGGAATAGTGTACTTTTTCAGTTATCAATTCATTTAATTTTTTGGATAGGTTGATTTTAAGCGTGTCCTACTGGCTTTATTTTATCCTTAAAAAGAAAAAAGTTGACTATTTTACTTCGAAAATTGTAGTACGTTTTGGTCTATCTGGATTTGTCATTTCAATTTCTATTTTATATTTCAATTAGTTGCAGTTGTTAGGCGCGTATATATCTAGGTACATGACTTTCATACTGGTCCCACTAGACTCAATTGATAAAGTTTTTCATATTATTGTATATCAATCGATCTTGAGATTCTTAAAAAGAATGTCATATCTGTATATCCAACAACTATGACTGACTCGATGAAGAATCAATGAACACGGATAGCTCTACAAACAAAGCCAGATACAACGGGTTAAAAACGTAGTACATTCCCTCTAAAACAGCTAGACCTAATACCAAATCTAAATGTTATCACTGGCTAAGATCTTTATTATTATTATTTTAGAACATACTAATTCCGATATACGATGGATTTAAGTATATTTTGTTTTCCCATAAATAGTTTATTAGGAATTAACAACACCAATGGTCTCACAAATATATGAATTTAAAGAATGTGTAGTAAATACAAAGATCACTGGACACTATCAATACTATGTAAAATATTTTGCAAAATATGTCATCTACTTAGATCTCATCTAGGTTATTATTTAGATTCTAAGCATACAATCAGTAATGGGATACCCTGGAGCTTATTTTTGGACTGGAACATACATAACAGAAGCTAGGTTTTGAAAACATCTTGGATTGGAGACTGATTTCGAAGTACTCTGATTTTAAGGAAGTGTGATAATTTACGCAATTAAACAGAATTCTTTACACAAGGTAATGCCGAATTGACACTAATTTATTCACATCAGTCTTACCTTTCCGTTGGAATAAAAATTTGGATTAAACCTGACAGTACCATTCCCAGTAGTCATCAATTTCACCTTTGGCGGCATGAGTGGGTATTCGGGGGGACATCGCATAAGAAACAAGAAAAAGCCACCTTCATATGGTGTATCGAAGGGACCTGTGATCAATGCGTATATCTTTGTCATATCTTCATTGTCAGGTACCACACATATTCCAGGGGCTGGATCGCTGTCTGAAGTGAGAATACTTATTCATACAAATTACTTGCAAATGGAACGTAAGTCTTTAGTTATCCGGAGAAGACAGTCACTACTAGCCGGAACTTCGTTTGCTCGATGTTCTGGATCCCAACTGGCAATACTCTGAGAAAGGAAGTGTTGAAAACTTGATGGTCCTATCTCTTTAACCGACTCCATTGAAATCACTACACTAGTGAGATATCTGTAATTAGAAATAAAGTATTGCACAATGATAAAGAAATAATAACACATACTTTATGAGTCTTTAAGTTTAGTTATTAGTGCTCTAATACATAAATTTCAATTACAACACTTAAACCTACAGATAATCCAAGGGACCAGTTTTCCTCGAAATTCGGGCCGAAATCCCATACCACCAAATATTTGTGATCGGTAAATCTGCCCTTAGTCCCACACTGTACAACAAACACATCTGAAACAAACCTACTTGTTAATAATGAACATAAAAGTTTTTAGTGATCGAATCCTATTAAGCTAAACCGGTCCAAGTCAATACTAAGCTTTGTGCATGACGAGTACCACCAATCCCATGTCAAAAGCATGGAGCTAACAGCATACATATCTACCTTCTAAAATCTATGTAGATACTGAATGTGTTATTATGAAGCGAAACAACGAGTAAGAAACTTCTAGTTGTGGTTTAAGACATAATTACTAAACTGTCAATGTGATGGAAACTCTACTATGATACAAAACGAAACATAGCTCATTAGTATTCAGTGAAATAAATTCTGCACTACTTGGTGTATGTAGCAAAACTTTATTCAGTTTCATTATGTACACCAAACCAATCTAGCGAAGATAAGATTCCCTCAATAAATAGTGGGTTAACTGAATTATAAACGTTTTATATGTATGAATCATAAAACTTAAAAAAGATTTATTAACCTATTAGCATAACCCCGAACGCAGTAATAAATGGCTGAATATCAAAAGAATTATATATACATCTACAATCACCAAAATGCCACGTGCGCCATTCAAACTGGCTGCCTTCAACGTTCGCACACTTATGCAGGTTGGACAACAGATAGGGCTGGCTATGTCTTTGGAAAGTCTTAATATTGATGTCTGCTGTCTATCCGAGACCTGTATTCAAGACTCTGGTGAAGTACTACAAATTCGCTCTCCATCTGTCACTTCAAAAAGCTTGTTCTACGTGCGCTTATCCGGGGACACAGAGGCATCTTCGTCTGGTCCTGCTGGCGTTGGTGTCGCACTAAGCGCTAGATCTGAGGCAGCACTAATCGACTGAATCCCCATTAACAGTCGGTTATGTGCTGTTAGATTAGAAAGTTCCATCAAAGTGAGAAGAAATCGGCGTGAGAAACGATGTATTTTAGTCATCTCCGCCTATGCCCCGACAGATTGCAGCCCGGATGCAATCAAGGATGAGTTTTACCACCAGTTATCTGTTCTTTTCCAGAAAGTGCGTTCGACAGATATTGTAGTACTAGCCGGAGACTTGAATGCTCAGGTCGGGCGTTTAGGCACAGAAGAGAGTCGTTTAGGTGGCCGATGGGGACTCGTTGGTCGCAGATCAGATAACGGGGATTGTCTACTGCAACTTTGCACAGACCACAACCTGTTTTTGGCTAGCACTAACTTTTGGCACAGTCATCGCCGATGTGCCACCTGGCGTCCTCCCTCTGTATCCCAAGCCTGGACTCAGATTGATCACATCGCGATCAGCTACCGCTGGCGTGGTTGTGTACAAGACTGCCGCTCCTTTTGGAGTACCTATCTGGACTCTGACCATGCCTTGGTCTGCGCCAATCTTACCTTACTTTTCAGTGGACAACGAAGTGACCGCCACCAACGGATTGATGTTAGCAAGCTGGTTGCAACTGCTAGTAAGTATCGAAACGAGCTAGTTTCTAGGCTAGCTACCATTCCACCGAAAAGTATAGATGAGCATTGGTTGCAATTGCATGACGCCATGAAAATGGCGGGAACAGTCAGTTGTGGGTTTGCGAAACGTCCCGCTTTTAAGCACTGGGTTTCTTCTGGTTCCTTACAACTCATTGAAGCCCGTCGGTCTACTCCGTGTGATCGTGAGTTTGACCATAAACGAAGGATGTTACGTAAGGAAATTGGGCAAAGCTTGCGTAAGGACAGAGAAGCCTGGTGGTCGAGGCGTGCTAATGAGCTGGAAGCAGCAGCTGCATCTGGTAACTACCGGAAGCTCTTCCAGCTCATCCGAGCCACTGGCAGCAAGAAGTCTGCTGTTAGTGAAACAGTGTGCGAGGATGATGGGATGCCAATCACTAACATCCATCGACGTCTTGGACGATGGGCAGAATTCTTCGAAGGGCAGTTCAACTGGCCTGCTGTTCCGGCAACATCGGTCAGACTGTCCTGCCCTCCATGGCCGGTGACGACTGATCCACCAAACGAGGAGTAAGTCCGCAAGGAACTCCAACTCTTGAAGCGTTACAAATCACCTGGCCCAGATGACTTACATCCGGCTCTTTTTAAAGATGGTGGTGACTTTCTGACTAAGGAACTGACGACGTTGTTTACAAAGGTTTGGGAACTAGAGAGTGTACCAACGTCATGGAATGAGTCGATAGTTGTCCCTATCTTTAAAAAGGGTTCACGTCGTTCCTGTAACAACTATCGGGGGATAAGTCTACTTCCGATTGCGTCCAAGCGACTGGCTTCCGTCATACTTCGTAGGTTGTTCAAAACCTGAGAAACATTGACTCGCGAGGAGCAGACTGGGTTTCGTTCTGGTCGAGGATGTATTGATCATATCTTCACCCTTCGCCAAATGTTAGAACACCGTCATACTTATCAAAGGCCAACAATCGTAGTGTTTCTTGACATCAGGGCTGCCTTCGATTCGTTGGATAGGACTGTTCTCTGGGATTGTCTATTGAAGAAGGGTGTGCCTGAGAAGTTTATTAACATCCTAAAGGCCCTATATACAAACACCTCAGGCAGAGTGAGGGCATACAACCACCTCTCTCCATTGTTCCATTCGAGCAGTGGGGTTAGGCAGGGTTGCCCAATCTCATCATTCCTCTTCAACTTTGCCATCGATGACATTCTGGAAACAGCTCTGATGAATGTAAGTAATGGTGGTGTGGATCTGTTGCCTGGAGACAGACTTCTCGACCTTGAGTATGCGGACGATATTGTCTTACAGTGTGATAATGCCCAAGGCACACAATCCGCACTTAATCAGTTGGCAATCAGTGTCCGTAGGTATGGTATGTGCTTTGCACCTTCGAAGTGTAAAGTACTTCTACAAGACTGGCAGGATTCCAATCCTGTACTCACCCTGGATGGTGAACAGATAGAAGTAGTCGAGAAGTTCGTGTATCTGGGTAGCTGCATAATTGCTGGTGGGGGTGTGAGTGATGAGATCAACGCACGTATAGTGAAAGCCAGAGCGGATTATGCCAGTCTGGACTATCTTTGGCACCTTCGTGATGCCAGTCTGGTTGTAAAAGGTCGGATCTACAACGCGTCGGTGAGAGCAGTTTTGCTCTATGCTTGTGAAACCTGGCCTCTCCGAGTTGAGGATGTTAGACGACTCTCTGTGTTTGATCATCGTTGTCTCCGAAGGATTGCTGACATCCAGTGGCAACACCATGTTAGTAATGCAGAGGTTCGGCATCGTGTGTTTGGGCTCAGAAATGATAATGCAATTGGTGTCACCATCTTGAAACACCGACTTCGGTGGCTTGGACATGTTCTCCGAATGTCGTTCCAGAGAATTCCACGTCGTGCATTATTTGCCGACTCTGGGACTGGTTGGAAGAAGCGGAGAGGTGGTCAGTGCATGACATGGTGTCGTGGCATGAAAGAAAGCTGCAAAGGACTGGCTTCTGTTGGTCCTTCACGACTCTCTGGTTGGGGTCCGAGAGATGGTACTACACAGCGGTTATAGACGTTATCAGATATGGCTCAGAATAGAAGCGAGTGACGATCCTGCTGTAACCTTTTACTTTCTTCATAAAAAGTGGTTGTATCTCCCTTACCTAAAGATTTCTTCCGATTGTACCTTTCCGTTCCCTCATTACTATCACACTACCTCACACCAATCTCTTCGTTATTGTTCTCTTTTTTTACGCTCCCTACCTTTTTTTCTTTTCTCTTCGAATTCTCATTGTTTTGTGTGGCGTATATATATATTGGCGCTCTCAAATAAATAAATAACTTCACTATTACTTACCCGATGATCCCAGCAGATGCGAGCAATATTTCTAAGGCATCTGTGGCCAAATACTAGTAGCGTACGAGTATCTTCTCTTAGTGGCCACATTTCGCAGCATTAAAGTAGAACAGAACGAACTGCCGCGCAGTATACTCGTCCCTTAATTTATAGACGGATATTTCGCCTTCGCCATAGGTGACGTAGGTTGGCAAAAGTCAAACGAGCTTTTTGAACCCGTGCAGAGATTTCGTCAGACATCAACCTATTAGGGCTGATCAGACTTTCAAGGTAAGTAAAGTTGTCAACGCGTTCGAATACTTCACTCCCTATCCTTATTTCAGGTGTTGACGCAAACCAATCTCGAAGGAACAACTTGCATTTAGAGTGGGAGAAGCGCATCCCAAACGAAGCATATACATTCCTCAGAAATTCACTCATCACAAATTAATGAACGATGGACATCAAACAAGTAGTTTACTAGATTTTACATAACTAATACTTTTTTGACAATAACTTATTTATTACTATCAATTTACTAATTTTAATAGCCCTAGTAAGTGTAAAACTGATGGTTAAGGTTGCAAAATTTTTGATCTCCACGAGCGAAATGAAGTGTAAAGGAATTCTCTTTATGTGTAACGATATTTATTGCATGCATTGTGAAAACGAAAAAAGATCAGAAATGTGACTATTTTACCAAGGCAATTTCGGCGAGACTAAAATTTATGGACGTACCAATCAGGTATAAGATATCGGGTCTTGGCGCGAAATTCAATCATCCATTTGGCTAAATACAATTTTGGGATTATAGTTGATGTCAGTTAGTGATGAAAACCGGTAAATCTAATTCCTAACCTTAGGCATCAACTGCAAATCAAAAATCTAATTCCTCAAACTGGTTAATAACCCTAATTTGGTCCTAGTTATTAGGTGGACACTCAAGGTCACTTTAGCGTCGCTCAAGGGTCATCCACAAATATAGTCTCACCGCAATTTTGTTGCGTCTATCTTACCTAGTGTGTTACCTTTACACATTATATTTCACAGATGTGGATTTATATGCAAAAAAACTTTAAAACGAGATATGCTTATATGTCTGGGATCTGAGTTTATCTTCCTGTGTCATACTTTTCATATTTTTTCGCAAAGATTACACGATCAGGAAGTAAATTAAATCAAGCTTGGCTTATTCTTGCTGTGTTCCGAAAAAGCGACCCTGACAATCATGAGGAAGACTAGTCTGCAGCAGACCAAATAACTTTTTCTAACACCATTAACTGTAACAGCACCAAAATCAAGAACACTCCCTATAGGACTTGTAATGCCATGTCGAGGGATTGCTGAAAGGTTTCCGGTGGTCACACCGAAAATGTTTGCCGATTTTAGTCGAAAACATCTTTGAGTTTAAGATTGATGGACCAAAACGTTTACACTATCTTCTCAATTATAAGCAGCTGCTGCTAGGGTGTTTTCAGAGAAGAGGTCTGGAAGATCCAAAACTGGTATACCTTTATCTAGCTTTAAGGAGTGGTAGTAAAACATTCCCATATTGACTTTATCATGAAGGGCTAATCAAGAAATCAGATTTGTAAGTTTCTTCTCTAGCTCTAGTAACTTGGGCAGTATCAAATTTTCGTAAAATAGACAACCACCTAGTTTGTCAACTGTTGGAACCTCGGGGAACATTGTGTCAACTTTGAGGGATTCCCTTAGAATCAACGTAGATTTGCGATACATGGGAAACTGGTGTACATTCTGTTAGTTCTAGGAGTTAACACACCCGAAAACTACAGAGAATTTTAAACAGATGAAAATCCAATTTCTAGCCAGTTTTAATGAAATTTTCACGAATTTCGCTAAATTTTTCCCAAAGTTGGGAGTTTAAACTACCAATTTGTTATAAATAGGTAGAGTAAATCCGCTCAAACACATGATTATTGGTCGACGAAAAGCAGTGGAGTATTAGCTATTATAAATGTGCATATATGACTAGCAAGAAGCGTAAGATTAACTTACTAGCCCGAGTAGAGATTGAGGACCATTAGGTCGGAAGACCCGTAGCGAAAACTATCATATTTCGCGGTAACGTTTAAATGCTAGTCGATTCTGTTTCATTTTGGAAAAGAGAGGGAGGTTGTCTGGCTTGTTTTGGTTCTGGCAATGGCGGTCTACTAGTTGATCTACTTTTTTGGAAGCGTCGGAAGGTGTAGCTCCAATCATGTTGTTAAGTAACGAGTTCTGTTAGTCGGTGATTCAAAAGGTTCAAGTGGTTGTGGACGGAATAGAAGAAGCTTTCGATTAGCAGTCTTCCGTGTCTAGTAGCAGGGAATCATAAATAACTCCAGGCTGATAGTCAGCTGATATATAATTTGCTATAGGCTTGTGAAGTATTTTTAGTGTGTTCTCGTAAATTCTCCGCTTCGAAGGATAAGAAAATTGTGGTACATCAAGTGCAAATTTATCACTAAGTAGGTTGAAAACTGTGACAATTTCCTCTCTGGTTCTTCTATATAACAGTGGAAATAGATTTAGTTTAGCCAGTCAGGCAACATACATGTGCCTCGCTTTTCCAGGAATTAGTCTAGTTGCGCTCATTTGGGCCTCCTCAAACGACTCACTGTTTTTTAGGCATGGACCAGCAGTACTCGAGGTTAGGACGAGCGAATACTGTGCATAATTTCAAAAAGGCTCTACGTATTTACCAAAGGGTTCTAAAACCTTTGATAGCCATCTCAAGGCAGTGGGTAATTGTTTTTACGTCTTGACTGACGACACCTTGTGTGTCTGAACAATAGGTAGTTTAATGTTATTCACCGTGTATGTATCTGTACCTTGGTGGCCAATATGCATCATAATGCACTTATAAGCAACTATCGGAAACTACCAAATTTTAGACAATTCAAATAATCCCTCCAGATCATTTTGAACCTCTGATCCATCACAGATGACGACAGGAGACCAGGAAGGTCATCTACCTACAGGAGTAACCACATTGGTTCCATAACTGTACTACGAGGCGCATTTCTGGGCAAACCTTCTTAACTAGACAACTTCGAGTTCATCTGTACTCTTTGTCGAAACCCAAGTAGGAAGTCCTTTATTCAGTTAAATAAATTGTCTCTAATCACGATATTACTCAACTTAGATAACAGCAAGTTTGGAGGAACTTTGTCAAAAGACATACTAAAGTCAATGCAGACCACATCTGTAGATAGCTTTTGGTATTTAATAGTTCATCAACTTCTGCGGGCTACTAATAAGTTTGGGAGATATGAATCACCTGTTCTAAAGTCATGCTGCTTTTCGGAAAGAATTCGGTTTTTCTAGTTACTTAAACAACTTCCGAACAACCTTTTCTAGAATTTTAAAAAGCACTCATGTTGGGCTTACGGGTCGATAGTTTTCAGGTTTGAGTCGCGTAACTGTTTGAAGACCACTTACCATGGCGTTCTTCCAGTCCCTTTGTAATCAAATCTGGGTTACAGATATATTAAAACATGTGCTTAGTGGAGTTGCGGTGAAATTGGCTAATTCCTTTAGTAACGCAAGATGCATTTCATCGGGTCCCATCTTTTTTACCTAATTCAAGCTCAGTTAGCAGGCTAAAGGAATCAGTTTCTTTGGCGGTAACGGTGTTCAGAGTGTGTGTGTGTGTGTGTGAAAGGGGTTGCTTGCACCGATTGGGGAATACTCGTGGCATATACTTTACTAAAATATTTTGAAAATACCTAAGCTTTACTGCAATCGTCCCTCATTAATGATACAGTATTAGTTTCTTCCAATAATGCTGCAACGTTACGTCTTCCCTTAGTCTTTTAGTTCATGTACGAATGTTGGTGTTCAGGGTATTCTATAGACTCATTTACAGGCTCGTCTCTATACAATCTCCTGGACTAGCAGAGAATCAAGGCAAAACATTTCGGGCTTTCCGATACTAATATTTCGTCTCGTCAGCACCCAGTAACCTGAATCTCTCCCACATTCTTTTCCTCCTACGAAGAAGCATTTTTGACCTCCATACTGAACCACAGTGAGGAGTTTCTTGAACTTCTTGGTGTAGATCAATGGATATGCGCTGCAGTAGCGTTTGTATACAAATTTCTGAATACGTCTCAATTCGTTCCAATGGGGGATATTGGTTCTATTGTCCAATTTTCTGGAGATGCTGAGTGTATAGTTTCTTGTATATTTGCCTTCCAGACGACTGGTCTGGCTTGGGTTTACATATCGCTGTCAACAGCGATATGGAAATCAAAGGTTGAGACTTCGCGGTCAGTCTTACCTATGGACGGAATACAATGAGGGTTTGTGAAATCTAATAAATCTGATTGGCATTTAAGGCCTATCTAGTTGCTTCTTTCCGATTTTGCTCTAGTTTTGTTCATTCTGTAGTATTATGTCCCTCTGGAAGGTTCAAATACCACTTTGAGCAGCCTAGTTTATTTTATTTCAAGTCACTTTTCCTATCTAATCTATGAACCTTTAGTAAGATGACCTCAGATAAATCTGGAAGTATAAACGGGTTACGTAAATCTTTTATCAGCTCATTACCATAATCAAAGCGTGTTCTGAGTTCTCAACCTTCACTTTCCTGGACTTTGTGAAAGACGACGAACTTGTCACCAAGATTGGCGTTCTATTTCCCATCTATTGTTTGGAAGGTTGTCTTTTGTTTAACCACATTGGATCATTCTGGATTTTTGCTTTGTTCACACTCATCAACTTTGACTGAAGTAGCAATTTCAGTCGCGTTTCACACATTGTTGGATCCTGGATGATTGACGATGACTTGGATCGTCAGGTTACTTCTTCATGATAGAAACTGATTTAACACGGACATTAGCTTTTCTAGTTCTTTCCCACACAGGGAGAAGTTACAACCTTACAAGTAATGCAATGTGGTACAACTGCAACTGTAACCGAAACAATTCAGGGAAGTGTGAATTAAGGGTAAAGGAAAGGAATTGACCGCAAACGAACTTTTCAGGGCGTAGTGGGCTGCTAAATGCAATCATTAGTCGCGTGTCACAAAAATCACGCCACGTAATGGAATATTGATATCTTACTGGAGTTGCAATAAATGTAACAGTTTTCAAGAGTTGAAGGTGGTAAGGTCATAAGCGCTACTAATACAGCAAATCTAATTCACAGATTAACTCATTTTACGATTTACAACACACCTAGTCATTAAAACACAACTGTCTGTTAGTATAACATAAACCTCTCTCGTGATTCTAAGAAACTGGAAGAAGTGCAAACTTGCCTCTGAGATTTTAAAAAATTATACAGATACACATTTAGACAAGATCAACCTGCACCTAGTGAAAATAAGTAAAATATGAGACATTTTTGGTCATGGTATTTGTCTGGAGAGTTCATTCGATTGTTTTTGCTCTCTATGTTAGGTGGTTAGATCATGGAGCTAGGAGTGATATGATAGATGGTATTTTACGGTCCGCCATGATCCCAACATTTTGAATTACAGATGTCTCAGACATATCCAGTTCTAATGCGTTCCGAATTTTACTACATTCACCAAAGCAATGAGCTAAAACTCATTAATTAAAAATGTCCCTTTACTATGGTTCACACCAAATAGAAGTATTTAATACATCATTTATTCTACCTGATGTAAACAAACCACATCCTCGGAATCGACAGTATTATTTATTACGAACGGCCCAACTCCTGTTCACATGCATGAGAATAACGTTCTCATAACATTCACATCTGTAATATTTATAAAAATATCAAGTTGACGTATGTGGATATTTACATAAATAATTAAAAGTTCCGTATCCAACTCACAGTTAATTAAAAAGACATCATATTCGTATAAACCATTGATTATCACATACCTCGAAATAACATTACCTGATTCTGTAAGTTATCATCAACTCCTAAGAGTTCCCAAACTTAATTTGTTTTGAACACCGGCACACGTACTCGTCGAATCAAGTTAGTAACAATACGAACACATATATTGCCATTTAGCATCTATGAAATTCAGTACTTTACACGTTAGATGTAACAATAAATCCTTGTTTCAGTCTACACCCGGCATCATTTCCCTTATTCTCTTCTTTCACATATATCAAACCCGTCTTGAGCTGAATTGGGGTGATTATTGTTCTTCTTGTCCTCGATCCCACTTTGGTTTCATTGGTCAAGCTTATGCTTTATCCATCCTATCTGTTATCAATTACTTAATTGACTTGTAATTGACGGCTGTGTAGTGACATTGGACCATAACCACACGATCTTCAAAGCTGAACACAAGACTACTCGGAAAATGGATATTCAATATTTCACGTGGAGTAATACCTAACGATGGATAGGGCGGGAACAGTCAGTTGAACTAATTGGAGTTGATCAGATGGCATGGCTCGGCCATGCAGGCGTGGTTTCTCTGGAATGTTACCTTATATCTTCTATTCATATTAAATATATTGTTCTTCCTCTAGCCTAACCTTGTTCTCCATCATGTATTGGTAATTGATACGATACAGTGAGTTGGTGTAGTCGATGGTGTGACTTCCACGTAAGATCTTGTAGATTAGGCAGTTATATCATGACAAATCTACAATTTTGGGATTAGGTCAATTATTAAAGCAGTACTAATGTATATTAGACTATAATTCTACAGCTACCTTTGCTCGAGTGATCAAACTATTTGATCAGTAACAGACAGAATGATATTCCTTGCTTATCAATAGCAAACATGTCCATTGACGAGTAAATGGTTTGTGACCATTAAAACTTTACCTACTTGGGGTCCTGTAGTTTTGAATATACCAGGTCTTTTGAGTACATTTACATTTTTATCGCCTGAAGGATTATCACCACTGGTGAGGAGGAAACAAAGTACATAAACGTGGGCATAATTAGTATCAGAGAACACGTTGGAAAAGTGTAAATGATGTCATATGAAACGTAATATCCACAAGCAGTAGACAAAAACAATGCCCACTGGGTACAAGTATAATTATGAACAGTGTCGTACAACTAAAGAAGACACGGTATTTTATTAGGAATGTAAAAATTACTGAACTTTCCAGTCACCGTGCAACTCTCTTCTACATCACACGAAGTGTAAAGAATAGCCGAT